CGCCAAAATTGAGAAAATCTGCTGACAATTCACTTTCGCAGCCTTGATGCAGCCATTCCAATACGATTTACGATCTTCAGCTGCAAAAGACAATAGTATTACGCATGCAGCCGCTGCACCAAGCAACCTTGACGCAGCCACTACAATGCGATTTGCCACCACAGCTTCAAGAAACGCATAGAACTACGCACACAGACACAACCACTCGTTGCAAAACACATAGGAGGAACAATTCGCGCATGAAACGACCGCAGCCGCAACCGCCGCACAGACGAGGTACCTTTCATCGCCGGCTGCAGCCACTTTACACGGAAAAACACAAGGTTTCGTGCTCCAGCTTCCTCCCCAACACAAAGCCGATGCAACATCACGCAGCCATTCCAATGCGATCTGCCACCACAGCTTCAAGAAACGCATAGAACTACGCACACAGACACAACCACTCGTTGCAAAACACATAGGAGGAACAATTCGCGCATGAAACGACCGCAGCCGCAACCGCCGCACAGACGAAGTACCTTTCATCGCCGGCTGCAGCCACTTTACACGGAAAAACACAAGGTTTCGTGCTCCAGCTTCCTCCCCAACACAAAGCCAAGGTCAATTCCATAGCTTCTTATTCTTTTGTTATGTATTGTTAGATTATGTTTTGTTATGTGATCTACCACCCTTCATGATAGTCAATTTCATCGCTTCTTATTCTTTTGTTATGTATTGTTAGATTATGTTTTGTCATGTGATCTACCACCCTTCATCATAGTCAATTTCATCGCTTCTTATTCTTTTGTTATGTATTGTTAGATTATGTTTTGTTATGTGATCTACCACCCTTGATCATAGTCAATTTCATGGTTTCTTATTCTTTTGTTATGTATTGTTAGATTATGTATTGTTAGATCACGTACCACCCTTCATCATAGTCAATTTCATCAAGTAAAAGTCATTCGTAACTCGGAAGTATTGCTTCCCAACTTCCTTTGATAATCATAGGAATACCCCAAGATTGTATATCTATTGGGATATACACAAAACATTACATTACTATATTGGTTTATACACTAGTTGCCCCTATTGTGGATTATAAGCATCACCGATAAGCCAGGCGGTATAATCCCCTGCAATCAATCACCAGGGGTATTTTGATGGGTTCATTTCCGAGACAGTTCCTTGTTGGTCATTCGAAAAGTTCAGGGACTTATCATGCAACCTATCTAATTACTTCACTTTGAATGATCCCCAACATGACATTTATACATTTTCTTACTGGCAAATCTTCTGGCATTCTATCTGACATATCTTCTGGCATTCTATGTGGCATATCCTCTGGCATATGTTCTGGCATATCTTCTGGCACATCTTCTGGCATTCTATCTGACATATTTCAGGGACTTATTATGCAACCTATCTAACTATAGTTGCATACTCTTTAAATACTAAATCATTCATATTCAATCATATAAATTATCAGTTTTTCCCAATCTTTGTTGCTTAAACCAGTTCTTTTAATCCCATTCATTCCATCACATTCATTGTTAACTAACATGTTAATATCGATATTAACATATTACCATCTGGTTATTTAACATAGCTATGGAAAATCCATGATAAATGGAGGTTTCTAGCTGGGAACAAAAATGTAAATGGACCATGTTCCATAGCTATGTCAAATAACCAGAGGGTAGTTCTATTACTGGTTGGTGGTTTCAACCCCTCTGAAAAACATGAAAGTCAGTTGGGATGATTATTCCCAATATAGTATATGGAAAAATAAAAAATGTTCCAAACCACCAACCAGATTACGCTCTTATTGAATACATTCAATGAATAATTCGTATCTCCCTGTAACAACTCTCCCGCAGGGACGCTGAGCCACCAAAGCGAGGCCCCAATGGGGACCGTGGGGAGCGTGGGGATGCAGCCCGTGGGGATGAAATCTCCTGGAAAGATGCCAAAGATATGATGGTCAATAGTGGTTAATTGTGGGTTTATAATTAATAATGTTTAATGTTTAATAGTGGTTTAATAGTGTTTTAATAATGGTATATGGGAGGTTCCTAAGTCACGGGGGATACCCGATCTGTAAAAATGGAGGATCACTCGGGGTAGCCCTGTGACTTTGATGAGGATTCAGCCAATCAGCCCTCTGAAAAATATGAGTTCGTCAATGGGAAAGATGACATCCCATATATTTACCCATAGGATCCATGTATGGTATATATGCTAACATTGGGGGTATATTGATGGTAAATGCTACCATATATAGCATACATGGATCCTATGGGTTATGGAAAATAAAATTCATGTTTGAAACCACCAAGTAATAACTATAACTGTTGATATCTCTCGTGGAATATGATATGATAGCTAAGTTTTTTTCGGACCATCGACCCGCTGCATCCTCCATACCCGGTGGCACGGTGGGGGGGCCATCCATGGGTTGTGGAGAAACCCAAATATCACACGATTGGTTATATCCCATAAAGGATCCCCATGGTATTAAAGGCCCATTACCCGGGTTTATCCACTCGAATCTCTGCTATATTACCCCCGTTTGTTGGCGCTAAAATGTCCCAAAATCATCAAACAACTATATAAATATATAGGTACATATCCACTTCACGATAATAATCCCAGGCTATCCCCATCGTATCTCAAGATACTCCTGAAAAACTGCGGGTCACAGAAATTTTACCATTCTTCTTCATTCGGGTTGTACAGTATCCCCATTTCAGTCGCCAGTATCCCCATTTCTGCTGCTTGCAATCCAAGCCCATTGTTGACTGGTACCCATAACTCAATGCTTTTGCTGGTAAAATCCATATTGCACCCCCTATCAACCATAGTCACAGTTCGGAAGGTGAAATTCCAAGTGAAGCTTTTCAACATGTTTAAACAGTGTTGCCCAGACCCGTTGATGTTTGATGGTAAAATCCGGATTATATCTTACATATCCATGTGGCTATGGATCACCTATAAACGTCATCTTTAGCGGGATGATTCGAAACATCGGCCAGCTGGAAATACGCGGGTGAAGCAAAGGGCTGTAAAACGTTTTGACTCAGAACAGTCAGAAAAATAGCATAGCTATGGATTGAACATAGGATCTCCCACAATATTCCCATTGTATCCACATTAAGCATCCCACAAAAATCCCATCATCTTTGATGCTCATCTCCGCACCTCGGAAAGGATCGGCACCTGCGAAAAAATGGAGGCCCTGCAGGTTGTCTAAGAAACACCTGCCATGTTGCCATGGATATCATCACTATAGAATTAACGCAAAAATGACATGGAAGGATGGTTAACTATTGGAAATTGCTAGGTATCCTTATCAGTTTTAAAATGTTTTAAATAGTCTTATAGATCAAAGGCAAAAAATGAATGTCAATTTATGTTCCTGTCAGATCCTAACCTTTAATGGAAAATCATCTACCGTGTTGGGCTGAAGCTTCCAAAAGAAAATGCTGGTGATTCATGAAGGTCCATCCAACAACACTTGAAATTCCACCGTGTTTCTACATGATATATGCCGTTGCCAGCTTGTCGACAGGGTGCTGTGGAAGTGGCACATGGCTTTTGTTGCCAACCGTAGCATTCCATGAATGATTTCTTGCCAAGAACGCAGAATTGGCTCATTGAGGGGCCCATAAAACCTGAAATGAAACCAACAATCATGCGGACTTGCCATGGGGGCCAAGTTAGCAGCCAAGTGATTGGTTATTCTTGCTCAAGGGAAACCAATGGTCAAAACAGCTACATGTGTCAATGACCTCAAGACACGGTAGAACGCCTCTTTCAAGTCCAGAAAAAGGACGCAGCAAGAAAAGCCCTTGTGATGTTGGATCCGCATGAATGACCCCACATGGTGGAGTCCAAGCGTCACTGGCACGTGTCTGCGTCCTCCAATTTGCTGGCTTTGGAGAAACCCTTCATAAAGGTCAGCTTGGTGTTGGCGCAGGGAGCGGTGAAGGACCTTTCCTTGATGGGTGGAGATAAGCAAGCTATGATAAGACCCGCACTCATCTTGTGGCCCTTTGCTCTTGTGGGTGCTCACCAACTTGCCGCCCTTGTGTACAATCGCTTCCTGGCCGTGCAGTGCCAATTTCAGGAGCTGGGCATAGGACAGGCGTGCCAAGTCAACTGCGTTGTGCTTGCAGACCTCGGGTGGTATCATGTCATGCCCAATGGCCTTCCCAGGTTGGCAGTGTTGTAAGTTCTCTCGCCAACATTGGCGCAACTTCACGTGGGGCATCCTAGTGCCACCTTCCATGGAGCCGTGGGGGCCTCTGGCCTGTATAAGTCAACCAGTGAACAGAACAATAAATCCCAGTTCATTAAAGGGCTGGTCCCCAACATAGTGATGAACTACTTTCAAAGTTGGCACCCCCAGTTAATGAACCAAGTGAACATTAACAACGTTTCAGCCAAACTATGCCCTATAGATACCTCACAACCAACAACATCCATCAAATAAGAGAGCAAGTGGTATTTATAGGATGGAAATCGCCAAAGTTAATTTGCTACAATATGCCTAGTAATCGGCCATCCCGCCTCAAACGTAGGCTACGGATTTCAACCATCACAGTTTTTACAACTGGAAGGGTTTCTGGGTTATCCCACCCAAAATATTGGAGAAGACAGATTGCAATTGCATTGCTGTTTTTCGAAATTGGGCCAGATGAATGTGTTTGCATGCTTTCGTGGATGTTTCCTTGTCACGTACCCCGGTGTTGTTGAGTAAGTCAACCCAATGGCCACGTTGCAGACCTGACCTATGATATTTTTGTAGGGACGCTGTGGCTGAGACTGTGTAAAGCTGGTGAACGATGATTTGAAGCCAAGGTTCCCCAATTGAATCTTGCGCAGCCAAGTGATACCATGGCGGCAATATCATGGGTAAACAGGTAATGTCGTGATTTGCACATCTAGTGTTGGAACAGGACCCAATCTATATGTATGCATTTTGCAAAAAAAAGATTGTTGTGTGTTTGCTTTTGCCCATGGGCCGTGGCTATTTGCCGTGGCAACGGTGTAGACTAAGGCGTCTGCTTTGACCAGTCGATGCATGCAGGAACCCACATGGAACACGGGTACTGGCTCAAACATTTTAGGGAGCTAGGCACTCTAGGGATCTATCAACTCAACCTATTTGTTGGCTGGTTGCCATGTTTTTTGTGCCAATGACAAACATCCCAAACCATAAGAACCAGTATCAGCGGAGACAACCAGAGCTGAGCTGGTGCCTGAGTTGAACTCTATCATGCAAGCCGCCAGTCGGTGGCGCTGACGCTGCAGCCACGTCGGCTGCAGGGAAAATTGACTGTGCCGATCCTCTGAACTGGGTGATTTTGGGGTAGTATTGGGGGTCCTTTGAAACACATCCACTGTACCACATTTTAAAATGGAGGAATGGATACTTTTAAATTTACGATGTATGCATCTTTGAATTTCATAGGCGAACCCTCAAACAAATGGTACTCTCCATTGGGGCATTGAAGGAAATGGCAAACCCCCTGTAGAAATTGGAATGATTCTTTTTTTGGGGGGACATGTGGGCATAGCGGCATTACTGCATAACTAACTAGCCAAACTTCAGACCTCTTGCATTTGCCGGGGGTTCCCCACCAAGGTGCTAGACCCACACTTGTTGGATGCAGCAATCGGGCATGATTCATCGGATGACGACGAAGGTCTCCAGATGAAGAAGATCGCGGACCGACAGCCGAACTTGTTGGTATGACAGCCGGGTAGACCATGGTTTACAATTTCTTACTTCGACAGGAGACTAGAATGTAGAGAGGTAGACGGATAGACCTACACGACTTTTAGATATAGACAGGTAGGTTTGTAAAAACACACACCCACACACACACACGCAAAAAACATATATATATCATATATGAGCGAAAGAGAGAGAGAGATATATATATCATATACATATATATAATTTATACCTAGACATTCTATTTTCATCTATTTTCTATATAAATAGATTACAATTGTGCACTATTTTTGCATATATCAAATATACTTGCATCATTCAGTCAACCCCCATCAGGACCTGGAGGCTCGGAAAATTATCCCAGAAGGGGCTTTGGATCGTTTCAAAAAACAGTCTAGAGCAGCTCATGGTGAACCTCTCAAATTCCTCCAGATGCTTCAGAATGCGCTTGATGTTGGCATCGGGGTTGACATTGATGACTTCAGACAGCCACCACCCTCACCACGAGTGCCCCCGCGTGATGAACTTGGGAAGAGGCACACACTGATACTGACCTCTGATGAGGAGCCTTCTCAGACTGCGCCTGAGTTCATCTCTACCCTACACATGTTTGCAAATCACGAGTTTGCTCACCCACCTCTTTGTACTTGCTTCCCTTCGAAGCTCGATCTTGCCCGCTGGGCCAAGGATAAAAGCCATGAACATGTTGATCTACAACGTTCACCTCAGGATCCTTCGCAAACGCGAGGAGCACCATCGAGTAGCGAACGACGCAGATGATGCTGCAAAACAAGAGGGACTTTGGGGAACATGGGTGCAAAGCAAAGTTTTTTCTCATTTTTCAGGGTTACGTATAAACTGTTTAAACACTTCTGCATTTGTGTAGAAGTTACACTCATGAAAGCATCGCCGATTCCGGTCAACCTGTCCCGGATGCAAGTCAGGAATTATTGCTTGCACCCGCTTGGTCATGTCCGTGAACCGGAAACCATGGAACAACTACAGCTTCCAGCAAGAGATGGCAACTCTGGCATCGGTTTACCTACATCGGTTCCCGGCGTCTTCTGATGAGCCCATGCCCCAGAACTCAGAGGAGTGAGGTCAGCTTTGTCCCAAACCTTGGAATCCCAGACCTGTCCCCAGTTGTTTTGTAAGCTTGCAGGTGCCGCGCACTCATGCTTCCAGCTTGGCTGCTAAGGTTTCAAATCGATTTGGCAGAGATGAAGCACGACTTGGGCCTGAGTGATTTTGATTCTGCACTAACAGTGCACGATGCATGTAGGGCAGGCATCTCTACATGGACTGGCACCGATGCGCCTTGACTCCCACAAACGTGTAACTTTGAATGGGGCTTGCCATGTTTTGCGACAAGCCAAGTCCAGTTTTTCAAATCCACTAGGTTATTTTGAGCCGGTGGTTTGCATGGGATTCTGGCTGGCAAAGTATCGCACCATACTGGACCTTCATCAAGAAGGTGCATGCTTTCCGGAAAATTCTGGAGGGCTCTTTGCCTATGGACGCATGGCTTAGAATTCAACAGGTGCTGCTGTATTATTCAGCAGGCTGCACCACCTGGGGAAAGCAACTAAAACCCTACTTCTGGGCCGGCTAAATGAGTCACAGAATGTCTCTTAGACCCAAACTACTTTGCTTCTAAGGCTGATGATGCTGGCAATGTTCCAGACCAAAGTCTACAACAAGCTGCGGGAGCTGTGGAGTGTCAGGAACATGATCCGCAGAAGATTGTCAAGGTCTTGTTGTCCGTCAAGGGGTACATGGATGTGGCCTTTGATGTTCTCCGGGACATGTCCATTCGCACTTTTGGCCATATGTGCCCAAGCAGATTGGAACTTTTAAACCTTGTTGAATGTTTAAAAGTTTTTTCCAACCAACTGGCTCATTTTGTAGTTGTAACTTCTGACAAGGATCTATTGGTATCGCAGACCTCTCTATCACGACCACCTGAGAATCATTGAGGCAACGCAGTCTCAACAGATGAATCGGGAACTCCAAGCATTTTGGGCCTGGCGTGGATGGCTCGAAACTGTTGCGGAGACTTTGGGTTTGCTTGGAAGTGATCGGCCTTTGCAGAGTCTCAGGCTGAATGTTTCAGTTGAGGATACCATCCAGCAGCAGGAGCACGCTGACTTGTTCTACCGTCTCACTCTTCGCTCTGCTTCCAAACGGGCTTGGTCGATGTCGATTTATGACGTTGCTCCGTACAACTGGGCGATGTTGCTCACTGATTCTGGCTTCGAGGACGTTGCCAAAGGGCTGGAAAAACTGAAAGGCGACTGCCTCATCGTGAAGAAGGCTTTGCGCCTGAAAGGGGACCCAGATTGCCAACACAGACAGGCTCGGAATGTTGGTCAAATTCAAGGAAGTCATTTTTCCCCAACGGAATAAGCTAATGGGGTCTTCAGCCCAGAATAGCTCCGGTGTGCACTGATGCAGGCGCCGGGTCAGGTTCACCGAGGTTCCGCAGAAGGTTCTGCAGGTTCCGGAGAAGGTCTGGGAGGCTTTGGTGCAGAGCCAGGTCACGTTCAACAGGGTTCCGGAGAAGGTTCCGGAGACGGTCTGGGAGGCTTCGGTGCAGAGCCAGGTCAGGTCCAACAGGGTTGCGGAGAAGGTTTCGGAGAAGGTGTGGGAGGCTTTGGTGCAGAGCCAGGTTAGGTTCAACAGGGTTCTGGAGAAGGTTTCGGAGAAGGTTCTGGAGAAGGTTCCGGAGAAGGTTCCGGGAGGCTTTGGTGCAGAGCCAGGTCAGGTTCAACAGGGTTCCGGAGAAGGTTCCGGAGAAGGTGTGGGAGGCTTTGGTCCAGAGCCAGGTCAGGTTCAACAGGATTTGCGGCCATTTGAATGACAGAAACCCAGCTGAGGTGTTTCCAGCCCTTGGCTTCGCAGCACGCTTCAGGAAGATTTGTAAAAATGAAAAGTTGTGGCTGTTGGGGATACCACCAAAGCTTTTTTCCCCAGCTTTGAGAAACCATAGGGCCTTTATCAAGCACACGCTGAATTTTCCTTCTATGGAGCCCTGAAGGACATCGAACAAACCCTGAAAGAATTGTGGCTTCACAAGCAGCTGCTAGTTCAGGACAGAAGTTGCTGGAAAAAACAGCTATTTTTTGACCTTTCCCCTGTCTTTGTAACCCTGATGTATTTTCAGCTCAGCCCAGGAGTTTTGGACCCATATGGAGCAGTACGGGTGGGATCTGGACATAGCTTTTCCTCACATCTTTCGGCTGTTCAGCACGATGGTTTCAACGAAGGAGGTGCTTGAAGACCTGTTTGGCTACTTGTCACAAAGGAACAAGACCGACGTCAGTGGCTCTACACGTATGTCTGTAGAACGGGCTTTTTTCTTGGCCACAATGAACCCTCGTTGGAAAACCGATGCTTGGCCAGCCGCTCAGATTCAGGAAGGAGATCTGCAGAGCACAAAAGCCACCAATTTTCTCCGTGGGCGGCAAGTGTACTTGCCTTCGTCGAAGCATCAAGCGAGTGAAACCAAAAGCGAGCTGAAGCAGATTATTGACTCAGGACCGAAATTCCCAAATGCTGAAGTTTTCCTTGTTTTCCAATAGAACCTTTTGCAAAGCAAGCCTTTTGATTTTTGGGTTGCCTTTTCGTTGGCCAGTTGTTGCGGCCTAGGCAGGAAAAAGATGCCTGGAATGCAGCTCAACCCACCTGCATTGAGACCAGCTGGTCACCTTAGCGACTTTCGCATGGTTGCAGCCATGATGAGTTTGCGCAATTTGGAAGGGCAAGATTTCAAAGACATCGGGGCTGCTTGGTTGGGAGAACTTTTTGAAGAAGGTCACCTGTATCGCAGTGGGATCACAGGCCTCCCCGCGGTTTGCTTGGGCTTTCACTACAAGGTTGCTTTCATGTGGGAGGTCCAGGAGATTGAACAAGGGTTCTTCAAACTTGCAGAGAGCGGAGACTTTGGAACCTATTCCATGACTGACATCAAAAACAATTTCGACAGCGTGTGCTTGACGCAGATCGAGAAAAAGGAGGCAGAAGGAGATGGTGCTTGGATGGCAGTCCCCACTCAGGTTTGCCGCTTGTCCGAGTTATTCCAAATTAGATTTCTTTTTCGCCGGCAAAAAATGACCGGGCTGCATCAACAATGATCATCAGATCGACACACGTTTATTTGACACGGCTCAAGTTTCTAAGTGTGCAGATGAAGTTCGGATAACACAGGCGTAGGTTCACATGTTCAAGGGCCCTTCATCTCAGGTTTGCCCCGTGACTTTCCTCCCGGATTGGCGGAGAAGGGCCTCTTGCTCAAGAGAACTCATGATGAAACAAGCCTAGTCTCGTACAGGTTGCAGTTTGGTGAGCCATTGTCAATGCAGTTTGTCTCCAAGCTGTGCGTCGCATTGGGCTTGGAAGTGAAACCTGGTGATGGGGAGAAAGTCGCAAGCAACAAATCGAAAATGATCCTTGGTTCCCAGCGTTGATTTGATCGTATTTTGGGTCGGGGGTTTTGAACCTGCGACTCATTTTTTTGAACTCCAACCAAGTCTAGCTACATGGTTTTTGTAAGCCAATGAACGGATGCTGATGCCAAGGACCTGTCTCGTTGGTCACTTTTGCCCTCATCTCAGTGATCAGCAACGGCAAGACATCATCAACAAGTGGCTCAAGGGCAAGGGCAGCACGAATGCCAGCAAGGCTCCGGGTTGCCTCCACTCGGTTCTCAAAGTTTTGGAAACTGAAGAAGACTTCAACAAATTTGTGGATATGAAGACTCGTTTGGATGATGAGCAACGAACTAAGCTCATCGTTGAAAGGGAAGGTTTCCACCGCTCGAAAGCCAGACAAATGACTCCCAAGCTGATCAAAATGCTGGCGCCACCAGGTCCCAAGAGCTACATCAGCATGCAGACGAGCTTGAAAAGATTCAATGGATTCTATTTCAAGCCAGGGGCTTCTTCTTCTTCTCGTGCCAGGCCAGTCGGATCAACCAAGAAAGGGAGGCTGAGAGACTTGCACTCGACTGCCAGAACTTGGGGTGACAAGTGGACGCAAGAACAAGCTTTGAATTTAGTTGTTGGGCAGCTATGGTCGTGGCACAGGAAGTACGGCAATGACTCTTGCTGCTGTTCTTCATGATGTTTTTCAATTTACCTCCCCCTACCTAGCTTGCTGCCTTTACAATTTGAAAATTTATGTGAATTTGCCCCGCTTGAATTGCCAGAGCTAAAGGTTTTTTCCTTGACACTTTACTTGCAACAAGGACATTTCCGAGAAACCATCGAAAAAGACGATCTCTGAGACCCTACAGAGAGTGTTGGAGGGTGAAGTTGATCCTGGCACTGATGTGGAGTCTGATGAAGACATGGATGACGCCGCTTTGGGTGTGGACGCTGACGGTCTTCAAGAAGGAGACGAGGAGGAAGCTCCTGCCATGGATTCTGATTCCTCGAGCTCATCAAGCAGCACCAGCAGTCCCAAGAGGAAACCAGCCAAGCGAAGAGTGCCGCAGCAACAAGGAAAGAGGGCTGCTGCCGAAACGCAGCCGAAACCAGAAGAGCCTGCTCCAAAGAAACACAAGCTGCTGGACACCAGCAATGTCAAGAGCGCTTTGCCTGCGCATGTACAGCAGACGATGGCTAATTTGGCTATCGCCAAGGCAGAACCAAAGGCAAAACCCAAGTCCGCTGACAAGAAGGAAAAGAAACGGGAGAAGAAAGTGGAAAAAAAAGTTTCAAAGAAGAAATGAACCGCTGAACAGCAAAGCTGCCACATGCACGGAGGAAAAAAAAGGATTCGCGTTCTGGCTTGTTGCTGGGCGGCTTCACAAACATATGAACGAGCTGCAATGTGAGAACGCAGCCTTATTTTCAATGTTTCGCGCCTCAATTGCATTATAATATACATCTTATATAGGACTAAGTAAGCTTTATATAGCATTATATAAGCCTTATATAAGAAGGGTTGTAGGGAGGAATCTCAGGGTGGAATTGGGAAACCTCCTGAATCAACTAGCCACAATTGGCCCTTTGTAATCCCATCCCCCTTTCCTCCTAAACACCCCTCTTCGAAACCATGCTTTAGTATGACATGAAGCCACATATTTGTGACCATAGGGTGTTTGAATATACCATTATATAAATGTGGGTAAAACAATGCCATTTGCACCATCCTCCAGTCATCAGAATTTTTAAAGGTTGTAGGTTTACCATTCCCAGTCATGGCTGGTTTATGACATTGATTTACCCACATTATTCATCATCGCGTATCATTAACCATGGGGCATTGCTGCACCTTGGGTGGCGCCGCCGCCGGCGCCCGCGGACCGGGCGAAGGGGACCGCTGTTGCACGGCGCGCGCCTGCCGAAATCGCCATGGTGTGAGCATCATCCGATGTAGCTTGGAGAAGTAGTGTCCACAACCCGAGTGGAAAACCTTTTGCACTGTTTTGTTGAAGTTGGAGGGCGGTGACATACTGAGTTACTCAAGCCTTAAACATACGGTGACAGCATGTGACAGGAGAGCCCTGGCCTCACACTGGAAATGATATGGATAAAAACTAGACCAGGCGCTCCCCTCGTCCAAACATCGCCAAAACCAGCTGGAGCTTTTGCACCTTGTCCACCTTCCCTATTCCACCTTGGAATCTACCTTCCAGAAGATATCCTTTAGAGATCCAGAAGCCTTCCACGGACATCATCAGGGTGTCCACCTTTAAGAGGGGTGAAATTGAGAAGTGTTCAACCCCTATCCCATCCCTGATATTCCTAACAAGTCTGCGAAGAAACATGTCTAACCTTGGATACCCCAAGAACACGTCATTTTTTTTGCGGGGTAGTAGTCCTCCATTAGTACTAAAAACATCTAAAAACTGCAAAACCCATGAATCATGCACTACCGACAGCATTTGCGGCATTTACGGTTCCATATGGTTCCATGTTTGCATGTGAAAATCCTACAGTAATCTGTTCTACTGGTATAAACCCCATTCATGTATTCGAGATCTCCCAAGGTTTGCCCCCTTCCTAATTGGATTCTATTCATTTTCAAGAAACATATTTACCATATTTACATGTTATCTTTACTTATAAAAGTATATATATATACCCTGCGAACCAAAGACCTCGTTAAACTTGATCGTTTCAATGAACATGTTTTACTTGTAAAAGAACGTACTTTACTTGAGCTAATTTTTACCAAAGCTCCGTTGATGCAGTGGACAAATGCGTTTTATCGACAAATCACTGCAAATCATTCTCCCAACTGGTTGAGTTCCAGGGCTCTTGGTATCAATTTATATCAATTTCATTGTTTGCAATCGCCCTTTACAGCTGCCCACAGCCCGTGAACGTCCCGTCAACAACCCGAAACAAGCCGTGAAACACCCTGGAACCATCCGTGAACGACCCGTGAACCACCCGTGAACCACCCGGGAACCACCCGTGAACCACCCGTGAACCACCCGTGAACCACCCGTGAGACCAGTGTGTTGGAGACACAAAAACTGGGTTAGAGACCCGAAAAACTGATTTTGTACCGTGAGCGACCCGTGAAACACCCGTGAAGCACCCGTGAAGCATCCGTGAAGCACCCGTGAATGATCCGGGGACGCTCAATGAACATGCATTAATGGGCAAATGGTTTCCATCTTTTTGCAGGTTCCCAATATCAAATGCAGTCTGTCATAGCACTATATGCATGTCTCTATGAACCAAGTTTCTCTCAAAATAGATTCAAAACAGTGATGTTGCTAAAGTGTTGACAGCAAGTGGTTAGAAGGATTTAGAAATGTGATCGGAGAGCGCAATTTCAAATGATCAAGTTAAACTTGTTCTTAACCAATGTGGACAGGTTAAACTGGTCTTTCGGGTTTGTAGGGATATATAATATAATTATGTGTATATATATATGTTTATATAAGTGTTGTGACATGTTTTAAGTTTTCTCCGAACAAAAAACAGTTTTGCTCCATCCATGCCCTTCCATGCCTTCCTTCCCTGTGGCTCCCGTGGGGACGCCAGCGCCGCAACCGGCGCTGCCGGCACACTGGGAAGCGCCGGCGCTTCAGTGCGAAAATTGAAGGAAACCTCCTGGAGCGGTGGGCTTTCGGAAAAAGATGTCATGACAGAATCTGTGGTTGGTTATAAGAAGATATTATAAGGGTTTTATTATAGTTTATGGAATTTTAAGTCATATTGACATATTTGAGTTGCTTTAATGCCTTTTATGAAATAAAACAAAACAGCCATGTGTCTTCCGCTATGAACAGAATATTGCAAAACAAATGACAAAACAAATGACATTACCCAACCAAGCTTACCCAGAATCTGTGATCTTGTGATTGTTGTCGATGCACCCAGGCCATGGAAATGTGACATATCGAAGTGTTCAATATGCACAAACCAGGTACAACATCTTGGATATTTGAGGTCAATGTGGGGAATTATGGCACCAAATCGATCCGCATATTTGCTGAGATAGGGTACACATAGGGTACACATTTGTTATTACACCCCAAAGATCCCCTAGTCGCATCCATCATCAACCCCCTAGTCCCTCAAAAGGTACTGCAGGATCCATGTGTAGCGCCAGTGATCAGGGTATGACTTTCCACCTGAAATACTGCTTGGCTAAGAATGGTATCCGGAGCAATGAGTTACGATTATGATTCTATAATAAAACCGATAGATAAAATAGTAATATGGTATACGGTATACCTATAATGATCCCCATATATGGATGTATATGGTATACATACTATACCCCAGGGCTCCTGGGGGCTTGTCTCATAGGTAACTGGGCCCCGGCGACTGGTTCCGTAGGAACCAGGCAATATGGCGAGGAACCACGCATAGGAACCATGATAAACACTATGATTCTTTTGATGATAACCGAAAATAATCTGAAATAAAACTGTGAGGCAACCACAACATTGTGTCTCATAAACGTGCAGAGCTCTTCTCACGGTTCCACCGCTTTTCTCTCACGGTTGCACCACCTTTTCTCACGGTTCCAGCCCATTTCCTCACAGTTTCCTAAGGGTTCCATATCATGTTTTTTGTGGAAAGGTTGATCTCAAAGCGTTCAGAACATGTATTATAGAGCACTCACAAAATATATTCAAATTTATCTTGAACCGTGGTGCCTGGTTCCGGTTCCAAACTCTGGTTATCTGTGACACTGGTAACTAGGCCAGTTCCTAATATACAGGTAACTGGACGCGTTGGGATAGTTAACTATAGAGTCTCTATAGGGATCCCTATAATAAAAAGATATAACAAGTATAACTTCAGTTCTCCCCAGGTCCTGAGCCACGCTTTCAGCAATGCCAGCGCCAGCGCCGCGATCTTCGAGGTCCGCCGGGGAGCCAAGTGCCGCCTCTTGGGATCCGTGTTCGGGATCCGTTTGGGGGGATGACTATGGATGACCCGGGATGACGTGGATTTGATCCAGAATGATGATTTGACATGATTTGACCTTCCGGATCTAACTGATCTAAGCCACAACAATTCGGGTTTCGACAAAAATTAGGCTTTCGACAAAGTCTTACAATCAACATGTCGGGAATTTTCACCATCATACCCCAGCGGATCGAATGAGCAAAAAATAGGGTGGTGTCCACAAAAGTTGGGATTGTATAATTCCATCTGAGTAGGGATTTGACAATCAATCATTAATGGAATTAATATAACCAACAAAATGTGCTGACATTTCATGATATTTACAGCGGAATAAAAGCAACCAGTACAAGAATATGATAGGCATATCAATATCATGGAATACAATGGGATGCAACGAACAAGTTGACACCATATTCGTAAATAAACCAATCGTAATAGGGCTGAACCAACAAACACGGGGATTGAATTGATCATAACATAACTGCACCCAAACAATTCCAGGTATCTCTGTCTTAAAATGAGGTATCACTATCACCCCGATTCCAATTAAGCACGGAAAACATGTATATACTTTTAAACCAATGACTTTGGGAATGTCATATCTCTTGGACGGTAGATATATTGTCGTCTTTTTTCCATCTTTTTGCTGTCCCAACATTTTTGGATGTACTCAATTTCTTGACTTCATCACTCCGTGTTTGGGCGGCTGTACCTGATCTTTTTTGGCAGTGTATCCTTTTTTTGTTTGAATCTTCAAAATTGTTAAACATGCTCGCTGCAAACCCCATGTTTGCCCGCAACAGATCCCGTATATCCTTTGACATGCTCAAATCCCCAATTAGTAAGGTTAGCGTTTTTTACTTTCCAAAACCTAAAACCCTAAACCCTTGAAACCCTAAAACCCTAAACCTTAAATTAAAATTCCTAAAGGCTTAAAGTCAAAATCACTGCGTACAGCATTCATCCTGTGGTGACAGGTTCATAAAATTGTTTGGGTGTGTTATTTGGGGGTGGGCGAACGTGGGGTTTGCAGGGAAACCCCTGTTTCTAGTTGCTGGTTTCCAGCCCTGAAAGCAGCTGGAGGTATCCCAATTGTGGCTTCGGTTGGTTGGAGCCCTACCATCGCCCCCAACATATTAATCAATCCAAAAGAACCAAAAGTCAGAGAGCAGCAACATATCTTTGTACAAATTCATATGGGTTTTCTTCTCGGGGCACTGCTAACCATATGGATGCACTCGGAATGGGTGTTGTACATGAGCACAGCCTTGGTCGTCGCCGAGTACGGCTTCGTGACTATGCGCGGTTCACGGTATCCATGACCAAGGCCAACTGGAAGCCCACGGGATCGTGTGTTGAATGTGAATCAATTGCTCTTTTGGTGTGTCAGG